ATGGGATTCCAATGCAAATGGATGGCAGGCTGAAATATTTTGAGACTTTGGTGAAGCTGGACTGAGAGAACATGTGGGTGAGAGCCTGGGTCTGTTGCATTTGCCCATACTTGGTCCTTCATGGCAAAAAACAAGTTTCCTGCACGACCTTGTTCTTGAGAGACTGTTTACCTAGTTTAGATGTGAAACTGGGCCTAATAGTCTTTTCCAGCTGAGCACTGGTGAATGAAGGAGAAGAAATTGAAGATCCTCTGATGAAATACCTGAGCTGAGCTTGAGCTCCTCGCAGCTTGAGAAGGAAGAATGTCACATCTTCCTTATCGCTTTTCCTGCTTGAGGGCATCTCTTGCATGTTACCTCTTCAAGTCTTTTGCTCTTTTCTGGTTCCTGTCTTTTAAAGGAATCTGGACTGCTCTAGCAAATTTTATAAAACGTAGGGGTAAATGGATATTGCTATGAAGACTTGTTATTCTCAATGAGGAAAAATAATATATAAGTGGATTTGAGAAAGAAAGGGAGAGGCATGATTTTCCCATTCCTCCACATTTTTAAAGTTCAGATAGATAAGGATTCAATCCTACCAAGTGGTGAATGGCATCACCTGTCTACCTTCCAAAGAACTCCAAGCAAGCTCAGCATTTCTCAGAATAAACCAAGGGTCAACTTTCTGTTCAATAAAGAACAACTCAAAATGTACAAAAAGAAATTCAATCCAAACCACTGTGCAGAAAAAAAAAAAAAAAAAAAAAAGAGGCTTTCAGTGGAAGGATGAGAATATTGCAATTGGGTAGGATGAAAAAACTTGCCAGTTCTCTTGATATTTAATTATCATGAGTAAGCAAATTGTCATGGATAATCTCAGAAGAGATCCAAATCTCCCGTTGGTTCCTGCACGAAATCCTGGGGTAACATTTCCACAGACTGAGACAGCCCTATCATAGAATCATAGAATCCTTAAGGTTGGAAGGGAGCTCAGAGGTCATCTATTCCAACTCCCCTGCACACACAGGGTCACCCAGAGCACGGGGCACAGCGCTGCGTCCAAGTGGGTTTTGAAGATCTCCAGAGAAGGAGACTCGACCACCTCTCTGGACAGACTGTTCCAGGGCTCTGTCACCATCACTAATAAGAAATTTTCCCTTAACTTCCTGCAGAACTTTTAATGCTTCATTGTGTGACCGTTTCCTCTAGTTCTGTCAGTGGCCCTCCTGGTAGAGCAGCTTTTTGGCAGACTTCACAGCCGGAATCTTTGCAAGGGTAGATTTCAGTTATAGCCTCACAGCAGGATTAGATACTTTCTCTGTAATTGGCTGACCCAAACAGCTCTAAGTCAAATATCCTCTAAATTGGGAAGAGTTGAATCCAGACTAAGTCAACGTAAGTAGGATGAGTTTTCTCCCATGCCAGAAAACCTTTGGCAGAGCAGTCAGGACAGGTCTTCTAGCAGAGCCAAGGATCTGGCTTTTAATTTTGTGGTTTCAATACTCTCTCAGAATTTAAAATGATAATCCCTCATATTAATTTTAAAATAAACCCTGCTGCCTTTTTTAATCATGTCTCTAGAAATACTTGGGCCAGATTTGCAGTGCTCTAGGATCCTTCCCAGATGAAAATCCAGTGGTTCCAGTTCCTTGGGCAGATCGCAACAGTGTCACTGGAGTTGATATAGCTGACAGAACTGTCTCTCAGGTCAGCTTTTGTTGCCAGGCTGTGCTCTGGTGAACCCCAGTTGTAACAGCAACTTCTTAGATGTTATGACAGCCTGTTAAATTTGGGGAATATTTGTCACTACCCAAAGAACAGGTTGAGCCGGCTTTCAACATGACAGGCTGGGCACAAATGTGCATCAATGGCAAATGGCCCTCGCACTGAGCTGTGCAACATGCCATCAGATTTTGACAAGTTCAATATCTTTATTCTTTTTCTTTTTAATGAACTTGCTTTGCTTGATTATTCATTTATTTTAAAAATTGGATTTCCTTTTGTTTGTCTATCTGTCTCTGTGTTTGTTGTAGATTTTCTTCCCAGTAATGGACCTATTAATGTTCTCTTTCATGTTTATGGCATTCCTGACATTGCTTTACTGACTCTCATCTTACCATAAACTGTAACTTTTTCTATTCATGCTGTATTTTTCCCCAAATGTAATCCCTTTTCAGAACAACACGTTCCCCCCAAATCCCTTAAGTGATATAACAAATTATTCTTTGGGGATAGTTTGACGCAGGTATGATAACTGATCAGTTGACTGAGCAGTTAGATAGTTCTTTGGCTTTGGCATGATGAATCACCAGCTTGCATTAAATAGACACAGGTTTTATTTGGGATTCATCTCCTCTAGAAAAGGCAAGGACTCAGGCCTCTTTTTCTATCTTCTTTTCTTGTTATTTAAAATTATAATGCTATACATTTTGTCCAATTTTTATTTCAAAGGGCTAAGGTCTTGGACATGCATCTTTCCTCTTGTATGCTTGATTTTATTGAGTAACATTATTGTGCAAAAGCAGAAACAACTTTCACTTCCCCCTACAAAGAAAGAAAGAAAAAAAAACCCTCAAGTTTTATTTTTCCATTGAGGATTTATTGTCAAATTCCATTTTAATGATTCCAGACATCATGACTAAAAGGTGGATGTGGGCTCAAAAAAAATGTCCCGTTGTTACTTTTGAGTCAATTGTTAATGCAAAGTGCTCTCTGATAAGAATACCAATAGGAATCCCTGAAGGAATTGTTTTGATGGTGCTGGAATCTCTATTACAACATTGTGGCTTTGACAGGGATATTCCAGCACAGCAGAAGAATCTCATCACACCAATCTGGCAAGCAAGTGGGCTCATTTCCTAGCAGACTGTATTATGTCTGATTGAAAAGGTCAGTGAATCAATGAGTAATCAAGGCACCCTTAAGGAATATAGCACTAACACTCTTTCCTGCCTGCCTGTTGCTTCTAGTGATTTTAGCACAAGAAGTCTTGTAGGGAAGGATTCATTCACCATAACTATACATCTCTTCAATGCAAACTCATCTTTGGACATCTATATTACATGATTCTCATTCCATGCTTATTTCTTTGAATTGCTTATAGCTCAGGCATTAATTTCTACATGGTTGAGATGTTTTCAACAGAAAAGTCAAAGACAGCACTTCAGGAAGCTGTAGAATATTATGTATAAAGAAGTTGTGTAATGTCAAAGGCAAGAGATGTGTTTCAGAGGCAAACTCACTTCATCGACAAGTTAGTAAACTTCTGATTGGTTTAATCATATCTAGAGAGTTGTGGTAGCTTATGTTCATAGTACTTCTTTTTATTTCTAAGAGTACTAGAAAATAAAGCAATAAACTTCAAATTAAACAGAAGATTTATTGACCCTAGCTCCAGCAAAACTGTTGTCTCAAAGTCCTTCACTTAAGACAATGAACTTGCTGCTGGCCAACAGTTTCAGTGAAAAAGTCAAGTGTACCATGTGTCATTATTCTGTTACAAGAATGAGCTAACAACAGACTCTATCCAATAAAAGTTGTGGACTGTCAAAGCCAAAACATCCAATACTTATTTTATACATCGGTTTCCCCCAGCACAGTGCACAGCATAAGACTGGTGTCCAAGCTAGCTCACCTACCACTGTGGCCACCTAGCATCCAAGCTTATCACAATTGCCTGAAAGTCCCCACTTGCCTAAAGCTAACCACTGCTGGAAACAAAGCTGAACTGTCATTTCCTCTTTGTGCTCATCCAACAGGTTTTCACAGCCTGAACTATCTCTATAGGAGGTCCTATCAATACTATAGTCAGAAAAGAGGGCCTTCTCCCTCATGAGAAGAAAGAGAATGAGGAAGATGCAGTACATTTACAATGTTCTCTATATTCATTTACAATGTTTTGTATAGTGATAATCCAGGAATCAAGCTGCCATCCCACAATCTGAGTAATTCAAGGTCAGTTCCCATCACTGTCTGAAGGACTTACAATCATGGATAACACACAGAGCAAAACCAGTTGTGGGGAAGAGGAACCAAAAACCCAGCATCCCTTCCTTCCTACCAAGTGAGTACCCTAATAGCTGGGCAAGGGAGTCATGTTTTTTCTCTAGTTCAACAAAGGTAAATTCTTTGGGCAGTGTCTCCCAGGTTTGGCAGAGCTAACAGAAAGTGCCAGGACTGTTTGGCAGTTAGAAAATTTTCCTGGGAGGTATGAATTTCTGAAAACAGCTCTCATTATTTCACCAAATGGTCTAATGGACCTAGAAAAAGGGTAGGATGGGGCAGAACCTTCCTTCTGGAGATGTTCTGGATAGCAAGAGATTGCTGCAGCTGAATTTTACATTAACCCAAACTACTCAGTACAAGGCGTGGAAAATGTCATCCTCTGAAGGAAACCTTTTAAGATAATTTAGAAAACAATTCTCATTGGCTGGGCCAAGGCCAGGCTGGATGGGTGCCTGCGAGCCAAGGCCAGGGCTGGGGCCTGGATCAGGGACAGGCAGGTTAATAACCTTTGCTTATTTTGCTCTCACACATACTAAACCCTGTCCATAACAACATATAGATGGTCTAAGTGACCATGGCAAGGGTAATGGAAAACCCTGCCCCGCCAGCAAAGCTGCCTGGAATTACACAATTCCCCAAACCTGCCAGTATCATCTACAGCTGTTAAGGTGACTGCTACAAGTGGCATCAATCCATGTAGACACACTGTATGGTAAACTCAAAATCCTAACATGACTTCAGTGCTTTCTTCAGACAAAATAATCCCATCAACAACATAAACAAAGAAGACATTTATTGCAAATAAAGATTCACATTCACTTCATAAAGTCTTATGAATTTTAAGGAGGTAATTCTGCAATTTGCGAAGTATCTGTGCGCACGAGAGCTGCTGTTTTCATCAGAACAGCTGTCTGGGACATGCATGTATTTATCCGAAAGTGCCAAGTCAAATATTCCTCTATCTATAAAGGTTTTGATTTGGCTGGTGACATCGTTCTAACACTTCCACAGTTTCATTTTCTCTTGATCTGGCAGTACAGGCTCATAGAAAACGCCAAAGCAAGAACCTGGAAAACAAAGACATTTCTGGTATTACTTGGCAGTTCTGGAAATCCCCAGATACAACTGATACACAGTGAGAACATTTTGTTTGCAAATGTCTTGGATTTACATGCAGGCTAAATCTGCTATGCAGAAGATTTTTTCCGATGTAATTCTTAAAGAACATGACTCTATAATATTGCCATTTTAATGAAATCAGTATCCATCACATGTAAGATTGCAGATAGAAAATTTTCATTTCTTTAAAAGATAAATGCTTCATACATAGGCAATCCTATAATTCTGTGTTTTTTTTCTTATTTAACAGTTGTTAGCTGCAATGAAGCATATGAGAATAAGCATTCTACTTAAAAGAAAATAAGTAGAAGTTCAAGTAACTTTGACAAAAGTTTGATCTTTTCTTTTCTGAAAAAATGTGGGATTCCATTGCTAATACACAGATATTTATTTTTTGCCTTTGAATTCTTTTTGGCTATTACTGTCTCCTTCGTAAATGTATGTACACATGCATTTGTATATATGCACAAGCATCTGCATATATGTACATAATCCATCACTTTGAGTGGCAAATGCTCTCGAAACAGTGTGTTATACAAAAACCAGAAAGTATCCAAATGACATTTAGGAAGATACACGCACCAGGATATTTCATTTACTCCAATTAGAAGCAGTAGAGAGCATACAGAGCAGATGGGATAGAAGGAAGACAAGGAGTTGGGCACACACCTGGAATAAGCCCTCACAGCTCCTCTACCAAGCCTGCATTTTCACTCGTACTCAAGTGAAACTGGACCATTCTTCTCCATATTATTTCCACTGATAAAGTTAGCTAAAACCATGAACAGTCTACAAGTGAAAAAAAGCAGCAGGCAGAGGGAGAGTGCTAGGGAAGCCTTCTCCTTGTCCTTTCCTTTCCTTTCCTTTCCTTTCCTTTCCTTTCCTTTCCTTTCCTTTCCTTTCCTTTCCTTTCCTTTCCTTTCCTTTCCTTTCCTTTCCTTNTCCTTTCCTTTCCTTTCCTTTCCTTTCCTTTCCTTTCCTTTCCTTTCCTTTCCTTTCCTTTCCTTTCCTTTCCTTTCCTTTCCTTTCCTTTTCCAGAAGAGAGAGATAGTTAAGCAAGCAGCCTTTAATCTTCAGTTATCTGAACATGACATATGTTAATCTGTCTTTGGAAGGGATTCATCTTTAAAGGGTGTAATTTGCCTGCTGACTATTTGTAGGTAGCTTAAGCTCTTCTCATATTGTTTATTCATTTTATTTTCTAATCCTGCTACATCTGGGAAAGGCAGCCACCAAAGAAGCTGACATCTAGAAAACAGGGAAGACCGATGGCTAATGAACTAAAGGATAAAACTCATGTAACTGCAATCACTAAAGTGACCTGTGATTTACTTTCTGGATAGATAAGCATTTTTACATTTCTCTTATATTTTTAAAAGCCATCTTTTAATATTGCTGTGTATTTTCCCCCATAATTCTACATAAACAGGAGGCCTGACCATCACCCCCACATACACATATAGTACCCTAAGTAACGTTAAGCTGGTGACAAATAAAAATCAATGGTATGTTACCTCAGAGTGCTGTAGCTGCATAACTCTTTCCTGTTTATTATTATTTTCCTGGAAATGTTTTTTTTCTTTTGAGTTGGGCTCTTGCCCACTCTTACAGCATGAGGGGCAATCTGCTGCCAATGATGTTTATAAGTTTTCTGCTTGAAATTGTGCAGCTTGAACTCCATACAATGATCACCATCATTCTGCCTTTACCTGAAACATCCTCTTCTTGTTGGGAGGAATGGGGAGGAGGGGACGGGTGTCAAAAACCATGAAGGAATAGTGAAAGCAAGGGAAAAATGAAGGAGGAAAGTAACTTGATGAAACCCTCAGGTTCATTGACATTTTCTCCTTAAATGACAAAGCCTATCGTTCATCAAGAAGCTGGTTAGAAAACTACATTGCTTTCCTCTTCTTCCTGGGAAAATTTTGCATGTATGAGGAATATGTATGTGTATGAGGAAGCAAGCAAATGAAAGATACCCACATATTAGTCCTCTTTAAATATAGGAATTATGAAGCAGTACAGGTGTGGAGTCAGATATGTTTACACCCTTTTTAACGATTAAATTATGCCCTCAAAGTAATAATTTCATATAGTTATTTCTCCATGACACAAAAACGCAGTTAGGAGCAACTAAGATATAACTGGCTTGAACTATTATAAATGCCTGGCATTTCTTAATGGAGAATTAGGTCTCCTTTAGCCTTCTCTCTCCTGCCTTGAAGGAAAAGCTGCAAGGCCAGCTGGTGAGACCTGGTTAAAATTCACACTAACTGAAGTACAGCAGAGTAGTGCATAGTTGGGCAATGTCTCCCCCTAAACACTGTATGGCAAATACATGGTCTAAAAATAAATCCTCTTCCCTTCCCTTCCCTTCCCTTCCTTATCCATAAAGTCAGTCTAAAGCAGGCACACTTAACTATCCTAAGGATTTCTCCTGGAAGATGAGTTAACTTTCAGAAAAAAAAAGAAAAAGGAGAAAAGACTAAAAAGAAAAGAGACTAAAAAGAAAAGAGACTAGCTTATGCAGAATTGAGAGGGTGAGCTGCATTCTTAACAAGGGCACATCAGAGACATCAATCAAGATTTGAGGAAGCCATTAGGAAGGTTTTCTTTTGACTTTAATGAGCTTTGATTTAAGCCCAGTTATGTCCAATTTGAAAAAGAAGACAAGGGGCTTCAGGCTCCACCTAGTAACAACAGAAAGCTGCGAGAAGACAGACAGTTGGGTCCTTAGGTAAGGCAGCTTTCCAGAATTTTGGATCCTCAGATAAAGAATTCGGTCATCAGAAGGTTGCATGGGTGAGACAGAACAGATCAGCCATTCTCCAGGTATTTTTGGGGTTGGAATCTGTAACACTGCTCCATCCTCAGAGCTTACTCTCACTCTGGCTCTAACATTGTCAAATATATGGATGAAAAGTGCCCTGTGATCTAAGCATACAGGCAGAAGGCTGGGCTGCTATCACCTGAAGTTTTCAGCTTTGAAACCATATATGGTTTATACGAAATAAGAGTATGGTTATGGATGAAGTAAGAAGTTGTTTTCCCTTGTCTATGAATTGAGCAAGCCAGATATTTTAATCTCATTCCTAGTGCATTTCAAAGTGGAACTATTGTTTAGAAGGTACTGAATATTTTAATACTAAATACTGGTACCTCAATAACTGCAACTCCAAATGTCAATCCCATAATTATGATCATATTTTCTTCAATCATGCTGATTAGTTTATTTCCACAATACTGAAAAAAAAGATTAATTAGAGGTAAATATTATTATTATCCTAAGGTTATTAGAAATATATTCTCTAAAATCACTCTACCCTCTCTGTGTAAAAAGACAAAGGCTATCTTGCTAATGAACACAAAAATACATCTTTATATACCTTGTGCTCTGAAACAACTATCTACTTTTTTGCATAACATGAATTTAGTAGCTGAACATAGAAGATACAGATGGAGAAGTTGACTATAATGCGTAATGTTTGCATGGTTTTTAGTTGGGAGGAAAAGAAGCATCTATTCTTACTTCGATTGGGTGATCTTTTATTACTATGACATGGCACATGCAGCAAAGATCAGGTCTGAAATGAATCTTTGAATTCCCACTAAGCTGATCTTCAGATTTGAGACCTCTAATCTAGCCTATTATTAGAATCATACTTATCTCAATACTTGCATTAGAAATCATGTCTAATTATTAATTTTGACAAATGTTAGGTGGTCATGATCTGGAGCTGGGAAGAAGCAAGTAATCAGATCAGAAGTTGTAAGCAGTGCTACTCTCCTTTTTTAATAAACGCATACATCTGCTCTTGTAATGACTATGTCTTCTGCAGGCATTGACAATATTCCTTTTGCAAACTGTAGGGAAAGCCAAATGTGGCTTAAATCCATCAAAACCACAGAAATGTTCCAACACTACATCTGCCTTTCCCCAAAATCAATGTGTAATTATATTCTTTAACCATATTTATTTATTCACAGCAAACACTTTGGTTCTTTCCTTACAGTCTTTCTATAGAAAGCTTTTTATTTAAGCTGACTCAAAACTGATCTGTATTTCAAATCATTTTTCCTGTATCGAAAAATGACTGCCTTCACTAACATCTAACACCCCCAAGAAATGTGAATGTAAGTTTATGTGAGCCATGCCTATTGTGCACCTGCAGTAATTTCTCTGATGGTTTCTCATGTGTCCTTTGAGGACTTGTCTGAGGCCAAAAAGACATTAAAGATGTGTCCAAAATAGCCTCTTTGTGTACAATTTACTTTCAGATTGGTTCTGGCACCCTCTTCTTAACCAGGCGATTTCCTTGCTTTAAAGCGGTATTTGCTACCATGGGACCATGCAGGGAGGAAATCAGTGTGCAGGCAGAGCCTGGTTCATAAGCTGTGCATACAACCTAATTTGGACATTTGCTCAAATCTGCTGTGTACTAGATGCAGAGACTGGTGGTAATCTTCAGACTACAAGCATTCAAAAAAACACAACTATTTTGTGCTAGTTTTCCACTTCTTTACATGTGTGTTTATTTCCATGCATGAAGTTTGAATTTCCATACATGAAGACAGCTAATTTTTAAAATTAATTAATTAAGATCTCTGCTGCCCACCCACCAGTTTGTGAGTACTCTGTCATTGTTGTCTGTTAGCACACATTTTGCCTCATTGTTATGCTAATTATCACAAGCTTTGCAAAAGGTCACAGTTGTAGGAAATTACATTTTGCATATGCTGCCAGGATGCCTACTATAAGGTTTCTTTCCGTCATATTCTGCAAAATGAGTGTGAATATATTTTCAGGGAAAAAAAAATTCAAAAATCAAAGGTTTTGTATTTAATTACTTCATTTTTCAGCAGCCCTTTGAAAGCACTGAATCAAACTCTCAACCAATACGTCTACTACCAAAATGAAATTCTGGAGGATCACAACTTTTTGAGGGAGCAAAGAGAGCCAAAGGACAGCTGACTTGCTGCTCTGGCTTAAGTGACATACGTCAACTCAGAAGCCATAAGAGCATTTTTCACCTGTAGTAACCAGGCAGACTGCTGAGATTGTATGAGTAGAGCACTGTACCACTGAGACAGAGGCATCCCAGGAAGAAGAACAGTAGCATATTTCATGATACTCAGCAATAACTGATGTATTACAGGCAATTTTGGCAAAGGAAAAGAAGGCAAAACTTCACCTTCTTGGTACCAACCAAGAGTGCTGATTGTGCCTGTCCCTAAGGACAACCTTGGGTCAAAACCTACTTTGGAAAGAAGAACAGGGAATTGCATTTTTCTTACCGTTTTATAAATGTATCTGTCTCGATAATAGGTGCAGAGGTCTGTAGATTGCTTCTCTACTGCACATTCACAGACTTTTTGGTTATTAATAGGAACATTAAAGTTTTTTCCCCAGTCTTCCGGCCCATTCAGCAAACCACAGCATTGATACTGCAAGAAAGGAGGAAACATAGAGATGAGAAAAAGTGGTGACTTGAAGTGAGAGGAGGGTAGTGTTGAGGAAAACAAAAGAGAACAAATTGTCCTTTCATTTTTTTTCTCTAAAGTGGAAATTTTCCCAGTTTGATGCCTGTCTCAAATGCCCTTTAAATTTCTATACCAGTTACCAGAATGGTGATTGCATGAGTCTTCTGCAGGTTATACTTCCGTGTGGTTAGTAACATCTATAGTAAATCATAGGCACATAAAACTGTGAAATCCAGAAAAATAACCACCTTGAATGATAGTTTACCCATTAAATTACAAATGGATAGAGGAGGCCAGGGGTCCATTTGGGGTTTGTGAAAACTAAACCTGGTGCAGTTTCATTTCAGGTTCTACTTTATTCAAACCACTACAGTTCAGATGTGCAATTTTGGGTTTGTGGTTCTGCCTCTTTTAAAAGGCAGCTGGAAATGTTGTTTTGTGAAAAAAGAAAGCCACGGGACATAATAAAAGCAATTTTGGTCTATTTAAAAATTAATACAGTAATTATGGCCTTTTTTGATTTTGCATACCCTTCACTGATCCCTCCAGGGAACTACTTACTATATCAGAAGAAATAAGCTAGCTCAGGAGGGGACTAGGATGGAGGAGGAATGAGGAAGGAGAGGGGTAAGTAATATAAGCCACTCAAATATATAAATGACTCTATTTTCTTTCCTTTAACACCAGCAGCCTTAAAAACACAGGTTTCCTTTAAGCCTATCCATCAAAGCGCACAGGGAGTGTGGTGGCAGCCCACACCATGAATGAGATTCAAGAGTATGCTCTGAGTGATATAGAGGATGAGGATGGCACTAAGTCTCCATCTTCTAGTTTTCTGCTGGTGGGAGAGGTCAGAACAGATACAAGCACAGGGAAAACAAATCTCCTTTGTACAAATCTCCTTCTTACACAGTAAAACATGGCATTCCATTACTTTGTAGCAAGAGAATATACTACATGAAATACATCCCCAAAGCTTCCCTTGCTCCTGAAGCAACTAGATGCAGAGGCAGCTTCCACTCCATGGGGACGTGAGCCCTCCAAGGAGCTGCAGCCACCCGGTTACTCTCTCATTAAGGACATGTGAAATGATGAACTCAGACTAGGAAAGAAAGGGAGGGTGGGGATAGCAGAGCTTGTTAACATTTTATGACCCTTTGTTTAGAAATATCATTAATAAAGGCCTTATAAAAGTGCCTGTTACTGTGTCAACAGTGGACAGAAGATAATTTGTTTTAAAATAAGACGGCTAATTTCAGTAGGTAATAAGTAACTCCATCTTTCAAATCCTACTGAAAAGAAATATCAACAATGCAGCTGAAACAATCTGCTCTACATTCCAGCTTTTTATCTCACATTTGAGTTAGAAAGCTTTTCCAAAGAGCAGGAAATACTGTAAAGACACTTCAGACATTAGAAGAACTGAACATCTCTAGACGAAACCAAAGGAGATGCCAGTTTCTGTATGTAAAACAGATCCAAAGATCTGAAAAAGCAGGGAGCTTTGGACACTTAAAGCTTCTGCAATCAAAATCTTTAAACATTTCTCACACAGGTTCATCTTTCTGAAGCTCTGAGGAGACCTACGCAGAGTTTGGAAATGGAGAATAAAATCAGTACCTCAGTCTACCCTGAAGAAAACACTTGCTACAGGTAGCTTCAGCAAGATGCACCTTGCTTAAGGCACAGACAGGAAGTATAGACAGAGTCTATACTTCATACTATGTACACTTTTCACTAGCCTAACCATAGCCGTGCAAGAGTGGCAGCCCTAGAATTACACAACAGCCTCATAAAAATCAACAGATTTATGGCCAAGACGCAAAGTCCAATTCCTCGGTTCCTGAGAGCTGTTTGAACTTGCACGTTTGGTCTATCACATTCCGCCGAGAATTACAAGCCTTAAAATTATCCTTCCTCCAACATATGCACAAATTTCTCTAGTGACCTGCAGTAAGGCTGCTAGATCGACAGTGTCTAAGACTCAAGAAAGGCAAATACAAACACATGCAGAGTGTGAGGAGGTTCAATAGCAATTATGGGGCTCCCAAACCCCACAGGGACGTGCTGTAGGCCCTGTGAGCTCTATAGTGTTACTGCCAATGTAATGAGCACATGGCCTCAAAGAAGGAACTGGGAACATATTACAGCCACTTCCCAATGTAAGGGGATCTTTGTTTTGGTTGTGTTGTTTATTTTAAGACAGTTCTATTTTTTTTCATGGAGGAATTTACAATCACTGATGCAGAGTTGTGTAGTTTCAGGTGGTGTGAAGTTTGAACTTGGCCAACTGACTTAGAGAGAATGGAGATGTAAAAGCCTTCACGTTTCATTAGCTTGTGCTGCCTTTAAAGGCTTTTCATCATCTACTCCAGAATTCAAATATGTGTTACAGATTAACCACCCAGCTGGTTAACACATCATCCTATGCAGTTTTTGTTATTGAATAAATATATATGAAACATATTTGGAGTTGCCACACAGGCCGATAAAACAGCACTACACAGACACCCAGACAAATAGAGAGAGATCTTTCGTCAAACCTCCCTACACTTGCGTAAGTCTTAAAAACAACTAATTGTTCTGAGACCGTGGAGATGCTTAGACTACACAAGGAAATGTTCCTCAAACCTGCAGATATCCAGATTATGAATCTATTTCCTCTAGTTCCAGTGTGGATCCCCGAATATGTCATCCTCTCTGCGTATAAGAGAGAAAAGGGCACAACAAAATCTACCTCAGTAGATTCATTGCATGTTTTATGTCCTTGCCTTGTTTCTCTCACAAATCCCTTTGTGCAAAGAAACCATTATGGAAAGCCCAAGCCATGGAAAAAAGACCAGAAATACCTTTTGTAATGTTTTAGCTTCTATTTCAGTCAGTTTCTTCCCTATGGCCAGGAATGAAATCTGAATCTTTGTCAGAGTAGCCACAGGTTAAAATATGAACAAATGCTAAAGACTGGATGGATAGAAATAACTCTTTGATACATTTTAATTACCTCGTTCTGAAATATCTGAAAATTCTCTTGATACACTTTTCCTTCTTCAGAAGAGCTTTGCAATAGATCAACATTGGCTGAGATGATCGAGCTAAAGGCTGTTGCAATCTGTAAGTACAAATATTATATTATATTATTTTCTTTGTAAAAACAAAAGGCAAGGAAGACTACAAAGAAAACTCAGCACAATACTGTACCTGAGGTTTGTACACTGCTGCTAAAATACCTGTTACAATCTGAAGAATCAGGATCAGAAGTAGTCCAATAAAAAACTAGTGAAAAAAAGAGAAAAAATACAATATCCATTATCATGAAAAGATATATATTTTCTTTTTCTTTTTTTTTTTTTTTTTTTTTTTTTTTTTTATTTTTTTTTTTTTTTTTTTTTTTTTTATAATTTTTTAAAAAAAAACAAGGTTATAATCAGAGCTGCTCCAGTTATTTCTTGAGGGAGGGGATGAGAAAAGGGGCTGTTTGAGGCAGAGTGTGTTCCTCATCTTCCATGGTGGGTCACAACAAGGTGCATTTCAGAGGAGTTGAAGGATGGGCAGTGTGTAGATGGGAGATATTGGGCAGAAGGACAGAGAGGAAGTTCTGGGTGGACTAGCAGAGCAAGTAGCTGGGAATTTAGGAGATGAAATGGTAGTGGGCAATGATGGATGGCAAAGACTGAGTAGCTGGGTGAGGAAAAGGCTAACAGACTGCTAGATGCTCCCTGGGCTGCATTTGCTTGTTGATGAGGCCACCCATCCTTTCTTACACACTAGAATTTAGCAGGGTCTCAGGCATAAGATAAGCAATGAAAACACGTCTCATATTCATAATTCTAAATAACCATATGACTAAATAAAAATATCCCCATCTTACAAAGATAATATCTATCAAATGTTGGTTTGCTCTGTAAAAGTTTAGCTGAAGGTTTTACTTCCTACCATAAGCAGCATGCACTGGCTTTCCTTTATGGCACCACAGCACCCTAGAAATCCTAGGACCATGATGATGCAGCCCACTGCTATTAGTAGATCAATTCCTGCAAATGCCACCTGAACCTGCACGTCCTGAAAAGAAAAGGAAAAAAGTCTTTCAGCTACAAGAAGCTCTTCCTGAAAACGTCTGTAACCCTCTCACTCCCCAAAATCAGAGAGCAATCAGAGATGTTCTTTTCATACAAAACCAAAAACTATCCATTTCACATTCTTAATTTTTTTTTGCTGGGGAATTCAGTAGGACCTGGCTTTCGCTGTGTACTTGTCTCTGCATGAGATGAAAGTCACCTTTACACAGTAAATAGACAAATCTTGCCCTTAAAATAGCTTTTGGGTTGTTTTCAATTGATGAATCTTTGCTTTTTATTGCAAGAAGTAAAATTGATTATCTTGAAATTGCTGCTACATTAACCTTAAACTGAAGAAATAAAATCTCTGTTTGTCATTATAGGCACACACTCTGTTGCTCTTCCTGACAAGACACTTCTCAGAGCTAAGCTGGATATGCTGGAAAGATACATTGTCCATTGGAGATTACTTTTTTTCTCTTCTTTTTCATTTTTTAAGCAGGATCTCTAATATAGCCCTCTGAAATGAAGACTGCATTTTGATGTGTGGGACATTCAACTAAACAATTCATATAGCTCAGTATTATTAAATATCAAATTATTCAGTTCCCATAGGACTAACTGTAGCCAAAGGCCAAAATGGAGAAAAAAATCTTCAAAGACTATTTTCCAATGTAGCTGGTGCCAAGATCAGCAAAAAAGATGTCAGGAAATTGTCACATTTATCTTTTGATGGAACTTACAAAGGTATATAGACAAGTATAATTTGAAGAATATGTTATTCTTTTCCCTTCCAAGTTCGACAGTGCTTCCTGTTATTTATTCTTAGAAAGCTCTATTCATCTACAGCCAAAAAGTTATGATCTGTTCAGTAATTACTCAAAAACATACATTGATTTGGAATGGGCTCTTTGCTTGCATAAAGGCAAAACAAACAAGCAAGCAAACACACACACACACACACACACACACACACACACACACACACACCAAAAAAAAAAAAAAAAAAAGAGAGAAAATCCTACCAGTTTTAGTTCCTATTCTTTATTTCACAGCTTTTAGTGTCACTTCAGGAAAGCAGTTTGGAATGCATTTATGTTTGCTTTTCTGAACAGGAAATTTCCTCACAATAAGACTGCAGAATTGTGGTTCTGGTTTTCCAAGCTACCATGTACCACCTGAGCTATTATACAGGACTTGACCACTGGAGCAGGTCAACTAACAATGCTAACTAACTAACAGCTTCACTGAAATGGAGATTTGAGGGTGAGATTTGTCGTTCTTCCTCTTCTGCTGTACACAGTGACAGTGCTTTCCACCCGGACCTGGTTTACCCCATGTCACAGTGTCATCATGAAGTCAGTTCTGTTACAGACTTGAGGTCTCTGGGACTCGGGGCAACATCAGGTAAATGGTAGGAAATAATACATAAATTTGTAATAATTTATATTTTTCCTAATAAATTGTCTTTTTATCTCAATCACCTTTTATTTTGTGGTCATATGTCTGTATTTAAAATAAACTGATTACTTGCACCATTTTTTTTAATCTTAATCGTGTAATGCATTAGTCTTTTCTCACACAAATTATCTATCTCAACAAAAACAAACCTGTGGAAACAAGCATGGGAAATTAAATTGTATATAGCAGCTTCTATATTTTACTTAGATCTGGTAAGACTGAATACATTTACCTCTTGATTACTGCGAACACGTATCCATATACCAACACCCAAAACAACACAGCCAAATACCTGTAGGGGAAAACACAGAATATTTAGGAAGATGAGCAAATTGAGATTAAAATTCAGCCTTCAAATTGCACCAGAGGATAGCAAAAAGAAAAAATTCTTTTGGCAAAGTGAAAGAAACACAGAATGTTAAAGTACAGAGTGTTGATTCATAGTCAGGGAACTTAATAAGAATCTTCAGTGATGCACCTGATGAATCAACAGAAGAATCCACATTTCAATGATGATTTATGCATGTGCTTGGGAGGCACAGAGATATTCTGTCAGATGAGACAGGTATATAATTTGCTGTAATTTGGTTATAACAAAATTGTAAGAAACATTGTTCTTACATCATGGAAATATACAAGATGTGATAAGGGATACTAGTATAAACGTTATGTCCACAATTATTCAGGACACATTTCTAGAAGTTGATTCTCCATGGTTAAACAAGCAGGAAACTTTCAAAATGAAGTCTTTCTGCTGTGTCATCCTGCTACATCATGGAGATGCTGACTACCTTCATTCCTTAAAATATTTTTCCTCTACTCTGATCACTGATAATTTTTATTCCCATTCCAAAATAATCTTATTCTCTCCTATACACATAAAGTTAAACATTTACGTTGAATTTCTAAGACTAGTGACAGATCCAGATGAGCCTAACCCCCTGCAGGTGCTATCCATCTCTCTATCTTGTCTTTAAAAGAAGAATGACTTGCTTTTAGATGTTAAACTCAGGGTAGATGAATCCTGACACATTTCCTAATCATCTGGATGTGGTCCTATTTCATTAATCTTTGATGTACAACTCTACTATGCATCAGTCATGCTAGTCCTAACCTTTCCTGTGAGGATTCCCACATAGATTTTCTCTTTATTACTAAGTGTAGGAGACAGATAATTAAGACACTGATCAGGGGGAAAGGCTGTGAGAAGACTGTCAGGAAAGAAGGATCACTGTGGACTGGAGTCTCACTATATTCTTAATTAACCTCCTGTATGTCATTAATGCTCGTCATGAATGACCCTGAAATATGATTTGAGCTCCCTGTGATTGAGACTATTCCTCGTCAAAATTAAATATGCTATTCTTAAATATTTTAGGTAATTTTCTCAGTAATATTTCCCTCTCAAAAGTTTTCATACGATATTCAACATCAAAGACCATAATGATTACAGCAGATTATTTAATATGGAACATGGCCAACACTCAAACATGAGCACTACACATTTCCCTGCTCTAAGTAAGGCTCCTGTAAGTACATTATAAACATGAAAAAAGAAAAAAGTTGCCTGATTGATGGCAGCTATGACATATTATCAAATGTTGCTAGAACTCTCCCCTGAAATCTTTTCAAACACACTGATTCTCCCAGAAACTGATGGTATCATATGCCTTTATATTTGAGTCTTACTGAGCAGCACTGTTTGTTCAGCAACACAGGACAATAGGGGATCATTAATGTGAAGATTTCTAGTTGAGCAGCATATTTGCAAGTATTGTGTATTTGTAGCAATTGCTACAAGACCAAACAGAATTTGGGCCACTGCCTTATTTGCTTTATAGGAACTCCCATAGAAGCACAGCACAGTAGTACAGAAGTAAATAAAGCTGAAAGCGAATGAATTTATCAATTATATGGGAATTCTACAATATACATTTCCTTCAATCAAAAAGGACTATCATTTATACACTAAAACTTCTAAAAGGGATATATATTTTAATTATGAAAATAGAATTGCATTTCAGTAGAATCTCCATGTTTTGTTCCTGTTGTTTTTCTCCAAATATCATACAATATAAAATGTATAATAACGTACAGAAAAAAAAGTCAAATAGTGAATCAAATACCTTGTTCCCAAAAGGCCAAAATAAGATATTTTAATTTTTATGGAATGCTCCATCCTAATGATCAATCTTTCATGAAATATAATTTTAGTTAAAGAAAAACATTTCAGGAAACTACTTCATTTTTAATGAAGCAGTTATTTTCTAATATTCACTTATTATTTCAACCAAAATGAAAGTTATCTTCACTTGGTTATAGATGAGACTGCATGTCTGAATCAGTCTCCTGATCAAAGATTACTCTGTTATTACCAAGACGTGGAGACTGGAGAGCCTACACACTGCAAAAGAGAGAGGAAAAATCTGACCTGTTAGGTTTAACGTATCAAAACACCTTGAGGGTTAACTAGAAAGCTTTGCATGGGTACCCAACTCCAAAACATACATCTTCAAAACTCATGCTCAACTTTTACCACACTACAAAGCTATGGAAGCCCTGGAGTCCAACATGGGACTGTGGGATCAAACACCAGCTGAGGGAGAGGATGGTGAAGCCACTTTGTGGGTCTAGGCTAGTCTATTCCACGGTTTAGACACTTAGGGATATGCTGTAGGAACCATTGAAAAAAGGGCACAGGAAAGCAAGAAAGCACATTCCATATACTCCTAAGAGAGGACATACCCAGAGGGATTTCAAAGGTCTGAAAAAAAAAAGCACACCATGTAAATATGCATCATTTGCATTATTTAAGGTTAAAGTTGCATATCTATTTAAGGTTAAAGTCACTTTCATTTCCCAGTACCAGCTTAATTTTCCAGCTGTCAGCTGCCTCATGCACCAGGAAGCACAACAGTGGGAGCACTACCTATAAAGACATCACTAATCTCTATGCTTTAGCAATTTAATATTTTCCAGGGATTAGAACCAAAAGTGTCAATTGAAGAATTCAGTTGGCCTTCTGTTCTCACATAGTCCTATTTGCACTATAGACTGTTCTTCCCTACCTTATCAGTGCTAAATCCCTTCCTTTAAAAAAAAAAAAAAAAAAAAGTTAATATGGATGTATTTCTATCCTTCTCAGTCCCATTCAGTTTTGTCCCATGCACAGCAAACACTCTCACCCTATTCCTCCTCAGAATGAAGTAGATATTTTGCAACCTTTGGCATAAACACAGGCTACAGAGCTTTGTTCTAGGACTGATTGTTTCCTGACTCCCCAAAGATGATGTCTATCCTTTCCTAGGAAGTGCATGCTGTCAATAGATATTTAGCTTCGGGCATTATTCACATGTTCGCTCCAGATGTAGTTTGGGGCTTTCCTAGTGCCAGGTATTTGCCTATGCTTTACCTTAGAGTAAAGGGAGATGCATATTAATAGAAAACAAAAAAAAAAAGTCCTGAGGAGCAGGAATTCTAAGTCACATTCTTATGGACCTTTTTATGTACTGTTGCAGAAAAAAAAAAAAATCAACACAGATGTTAAATATCTTCCATCTGCTTTGGTGGAGGTGGAGGAAGAAGGGGAGCAGTCCAAATCTGCCATCATCACTGGTCTGTTAGAAATGTATTTGTGAGGTCAACAAGTGAGCAAAGACTTTTGCTAACTCTGTCGCTCATTTTGTCTAGCCACAGATTTTCCAGGACTACTGTATGCGCTCCATTTTAAATGGTAGCAACTTTTCACTAGGAAAAAATCCCCGAAGGCAAATGCCATGTTGTGACTAGCAGTTCTACTTCTGGTTTCAGTGAACCTCTGGTGAACCCAGCAAACCATGAAAAAAAAAGCTTCTTAACTCAAAACTTTCCCAAACTACCAAAATCTTGCAAACCAGCTGAGATGTGACAAGGCAAATACAGTTCAAACTGCATTAGAATAAAGCTGTGCTGTTTTAAGTGCAGGCCAGGCTGATTTAGTCCACCTATGGGCAGTACTGCCAGCTTGTAACCATTTTAACATTCACTGCCTTATGTCAAAAATAAAGTATGAAACACAACATACAACAGGGTATCACAAAGAAGGCCGGACACACACGCACACACAAAATCATCAAGAAAGAGACTACAAATATAAGGGTATTGCTTTGTGGGGCTGTGCCTTTTGGACAGAAACAGACAATTAAAGCAAGAGAAAAATCCATTCACATGGAGCATCTTGTATCTTGTGACTGAATTGAAGGGTAGGTTACAGGCAGGGGGACAGACTCCAGGCTGTTCTTGTTTTGAACTGGAAGGAAAGGCTATTTTGAAAGAATAAGAGAAAAGGAAGCTCAAAATTAAACATACGCTCCATTCTCTGATTTAGAATCATATTCTGGTTCCACTTACGCTCTAATTTCTTCACAATTGCTCAACTATAGCCTTCAGATAACACTGAACACATTTCATGCATCACTAATAAGAATCCAATCATGAACTTACCCAAAATAAGAAGTTGAAGATGAACATGGAATACTTTATGCAGCGGTTTACTCCTGCCATTTTCAAAACGTTGAGATGAAAGTGAGAACTACAGAAGAAGCTTTCCTACGAGTTTGCCCTTGATTAAAGGTTCCCCTTGCTTCTTCAGGAAACCTCACAGACCAAGTCAAATGCCTTGTGCTCTGCTGCTGAAAGCAATGGTGACTGGGGCAGCTACAGTTATTTAAACAATTCATATTGTTTATAGGTAAATATTAACTGGAACATTGGGACGACTAGAACACCTCCACCAGGTGTTATTGCTGAGTCTTCAGATTCTCACCGTGTCTTTGTGAGCTGTACATTTTTATGGTCCTTTTAATCTTGTCCTACACCCCAAAAGTAAACAGATACTGCAGCAAACCTATTCTTTCAACAGAAAGGGAAGTGAAAACAAACAAAAAATATATATTACAGAGCTGCTTTTAAGAGACGGAAATGGCTGCATTTCTTAATACTTTGGCCTTACAGTGCTTGCTGTCTTTCATTTTTCCACTAATCATTGCCAAAAGTCATTCACTCATATTCGTAATCACACTCCAGCTATTCAGCCAGAATAAAGGGATGGGTCTGAGCAATCCTGCAGAAGAAGGGGACAAGGAATCTGCAGACATTACCTCCGCCTTGCTGTCTACTTCAGGTGTTTTTTCCTCCTCCTGCCCAAAATGGGACCCTGAACATTGAGGTGTACAAAATGTCCTGCCATGCATGTTTCCAAAAGTAGTGTGAACCCCAGCTCACAATTCTGGCTTAAGATTCAGTGTATCTCTTGGCAGAAGGAGACCGATTTGTCCCAGAAGACACTAAACTTGTTTCATTAGTTTTGTTTTATGTCTTGTTTGTTTTCTCTGGTGTTCCCCAAACTAGAAATTGTTATAGAAACTTGAAAGTGTAATTGATTTTTCTGTACTATCTGCCCATTTTTAGAGAAGCCTGAAATACCAGTCCTTGGAGGGATAAGGGTCATACCCAGGTTCTCCTGGTTTCCTCACACAGGTGAGCACACAAGAATTAAATGAGAAAGTTTAGGGACATGCTGAACAATATTGATTGATGCAGATTCCTTTACACAAGCCTTATTTTTAATCTTTATTATCAGTTTGCATTCCCCAATTCTCTGTATTTGAAAAAAGTAGAAAGTGTTAGCATATAACACACCTATAGATGGTGACAAAAAGATGTAGGTTAAGATCCTTCTCTTTTGAACGATCTACAAAAAAATATCTACTTCATACTGAATAACTTCCTCTGGCTGCTCTCTAAACTAGCTCTCATTGAAGGAGTGATATTGGAATAAACATCAATTGGAGAATAATTTTCACTAATTTTATTCAAATGGATACAATTTTAAGAGGGGCTGTATATCTGCATTCAAGTTTCTGGGTTCTTTTCTGGAACAATTCTCTTTTTTTTTCTCTAAATCTAGGAGATTGGCTGTCTGACTGCTTATTTCACAATATCCACCCTTAATCTGTGAATGTTCCTAAAAATAATTGCACTCATGAAATACAGGTTTTGTATGAACTGGGAGAAACAACTGCGTGGTATGGTTTAGATCTAAAGCACTCAACAAATAAGTAAGTTGAGAAATGTGGGTGTCTTTATGGAGAGATGCCATAGCCACAGATGAATCATGAGAATAGTTTAAAGTGCCATATAAAATTGTATGACAAGATCCATGAAGGGTAATAAAAGAATCACAGATGACATGGGATTTGAAGAGAGAAGTCGGAAATCAGGGCAGCAGTTCTAGTTAAACCAAATTTGCTGTTGGAGGAATTCAGAAACAGCATTCTGCTGTACCAAAAGCTGCAGTTATAAATTGCCATGTGTTCGTTAGGAAAGGCACGAGTTATAAGCACTGCTCTCTGTGAAATGCCTGGCCCTGGCATTCAGTAAGAGAACTCTGAGGTCTGCTGTGCCTGGGTAGAAGGACTGTCCCACAGAAAGCAAGCACGACCACATTGGTCCTACACAAGAGGCTGATGCACACAGACTCGGCACATGTTTGGGGCCCAGTCCTGCTCACTGCTTTGCTGCACATCACTCTGGGGTTTGGGGCATGGAGGAAGGTCTGCACCAGCAAGGCCATGGAGCAACCTCCAGGGCAATGCCCAGCCCGGGGCTGCCAGAGGCCCCCAGGCAGAGCACTCAGTGTTGCCTCTGGAAATTAGCTACCAGAAATTTTGGATTTTATTTTTTTTAAATATGCCTAACAAAAATATGCCATCCAAATTCAATGCACACAAGCAATTCTCATAAGTTTTCAAACCTTCTATAGGCATTGATCATTTCTTATTCCCTGGCTACACAGTTTTTAATAGGCCTTGGCAAAGAAGGGAGAAGACACAGTTATAAATGCTTGCAGTTATACCTATAAGCTAAAGTGCTATTTTGCAGGGACATGCAGGTAGCAGGAGATGTGAATGAATGAGAGAAATGACAGGAAAAAGAAATTGCCTGTAGATCTTCACTGTTGTATAGCTGCATGTGCCAGATTGCTCCTGTCACCTGCCATCGTGTCAGACCTTCCTGGCATGCATGAACCAGGCAGACAATGAGCTCTGCCCTCCCCAAAACACCCTTCTGCCACAGACTGCTTGGAAGCTTGGCCCAGAGACCATGTGGAAATACCCTGCTCAAAGAGCACTGTGAGGAAGAACTTCTTCACTGTGAGAACTTCACAGGCTGCCCAGGGAGGCTGCGGAGTCTCCTTCTCTGGAGATCTTCCAAACCCGCCTGGATGCCGCCCTGTGCCCCGTGCTCTGGGTGTCCCTGTTGGAGCAGGGGGTTGGACTAGGTGATCTCTAGAGGTCCCTTCCACCCTTGAACATTCTGTGATCCTGTGAAATTCCTCCCCTCGTTAGCGGTTGGGCTGTGAGGATTATCCGCGCACAGCCTGGGTGCCGCACGGGCTGGGACGCCTTGGACACGCAGCCCTCGAGCTCCTCACGGCAGGGTGGGAGCAGTGACGCAGCGATGACTTTCCCTGCTGTGTCACGTGAGAAACCGGAGCCCAACGGGGGCGTTTTGGCAGAAGAAAATGCCAGTGCACCTGTTACGGAGCGGAAATAAAGCATCACCTCTGTGGCACCAGCAGAGCACTCGGTTCCACACTGTTTTCTGCCTCCTGCCCTCCCGTTGCTCTGCCGGGGCAGGGAGCTTGCCCAGCCCTCACGTGCCTCCCAGTCTCTGCTCTCTGCACAGCTTTCCCAGCAACACCAGCCTCACAGCTCCCTATGTTTATGCTCTTTTCTGCTCAGAAACAAAGGGTGCATAGATGTTGTGGGGTCCTTTAAACGCAATTACTCTCCAGCTTGCCCAGCATAGGAAATAGGTGCGTGCTCTTTGGTTTTCTGCAGTCCCACAGATGTAATACACACCTGGATCCTTTTTACTGCCTCAGTGTCCTCATCAGCCTTCATCTTTTGGGGATTAAGCCAGACATTGTTAAGATTTCCCTTCTTTTTGCACATACTGTCCTCTCTCATTTCTCTAACACATAAAAACTATTTTTTAACAATCTCAGTTTCCTTTTGTGATATTCCTTTACGTGCAGGCTAACTAAGTGATCAAAGCCCCATATAAAATGATTCACTGTATTTTAGTCAGTTCTTCCTTAAGGCTTGAACTTGAAAAACTGGTTTTTACTCAGTAGCAGCCTGTTCTTTGAACATAGTGGATGATAAAGGATTTTTTATTTTACCATGGGAATTTCTGTTCAGTGTCATGACAGAAACTTAAGGGAAAGGCAAATAAGAATGATATTTGGTGTGAAGTTTGTAGCCTGAAAGAACTCAACAGTGCTCTGAAGGATGAACTGATTTCTTACCACTTCAGGACTTCTTCTGGGAGGTAGATATGAAAAGTGCAAAAGAGGCAATGAGAATCTGGCCCTCATGTTTAACACTACGAGCAGGTCTGCTCAGTTTTTCTGAGGAGAAGGCTCTGCCCTGGCCTCCCCAGGTAGATCCCTTACTGTGCCCAAAGCCATATGCCCAGTTTCTCAGAGGCACTGATCTGTCACAGCTCTGCAGTACACTAACCACGGATCTCCCAACCCTCGTTCCAAACTAGCTGGAATACACCTAAAAAGAAATCCTGTGTGATCCTTTGGTACTCATTACTGCTCTTCTTCCCTTTTCTTTCCCTTTCCTTCCCCCTTCCACATGCTGAGCTGCTATAAAGGTGAAATTTAGGATTTCTGATGCTTTTCATAAAAACAAATAAACAAAAGCCCACACCAGAATGATTACTGGCTAGAGTATCATCCGGCACACGGCAGAACAAAGTCCTGGCTCTGAGTGAGATCTGCAGCCTCGCTGTTTCCTATGCCATACATGAGTGAACTGGGCTCCTGTTAGTGTTATACTGGAAATTGATTTCTCACCTGTTAAAGCTTTTCTTTTCAGTTTGTAATAATCAGTGTTTGTAGCCATTAAGAATGTAACCCCTTTCCTTCATGATCACTACATTTCTCTGCACTCCAGGCAATAAAGATCTCTCTCACATCTTAGGCACAGGCCATAAGGCGAATGGGTCAGCAATGTGGCTCAGAAGAGACAATGGCCTGACTGAAAAAAATGAAAAAAAAACAAAACAAAAACAGAGCTAGATGCCCAAAACAGGTATTTATATTCAGTAACACTGAAAATCCTGCAATGTTCCATGCGAGTCATATGCATCCAAACTCTGGTATAGGAAATGTATAACTGGGTGGACGTGGTGCTCTGTTTCCTTAGGGCTGATGAAAGGCAAGGCACACATATATTAAACTTCATCCCAGAACAGGCACTCCAGGCTCTTGTGGCCCAGGTGAATGTTAACCATGGAGATATTTGTCAGTGGTGCATCATCCCCTCTGTCTGACTAGACATTTCATTTTAGTCCTGGAAACCTTTTCCCTGAGGAGGAAGGAGGGAGTTTAAATGGGGATATATCTCCACAAAAGATTTCTATCCTGAAAAAAAACAGTTTCATCAGAAAACTCCCAGCCAACTCCGTGCTGGACTCCCATTCAG